AAGGCCCTAAAAATTTTTAAAAATCGTACATAAAATAGATCCAAATTTCACCATCATCCGATTTCACGATCATCCGTGACAATTAATATTGTCAATGTTTTAGAAAAAGACTCAATAATTGTTGGGATTAGTAAAAAGGAGATCACGCTAATTTAGTAAACGATATGAATCTTGCAGTAGAAAGGACAGAAACTCAATTATACATGATTTCGATATAACCGAGATCGAAAGTTTTTTGTTCATACTGAACCGGGTTATTCAAAATATCAAACTTGATTGACTAAAGATACTGAGTAGTCTCATACCTTGTATTTTTGAATTATCTCGACTTTTATTATAAAAATCAATTTTCATTTATGATTGAAGAATGTAACTCGCGCTGAAATTTATCTAAATTTAAAAGAAATCGATTTCATTTTCGGGCAGTTTCTGTACTTTCTACTGCAATGAATCCATATGACATAACATACCCTCATGTATCCAGGTAAAAATTAAAAGTTCAAAGGCCTTAGGACATTACTATCGGAACCTATATCTTTTTTTTCGATTGATTTGATGAACTTGGCATCACCTAGTTGAATCATCACCAGTATCCTTTGTTTATATTTTTAGATTCATCCCTTTTTTTTTGCCATTTCACTGTTCTTGCCATTTCTTTTGCTGCCAGAATTACTTCCGGAAATTCACCTTCCATTTCATCCAGTAATAACAATGCTGCGGATTGTGTTTGCCTCGCCACGAGCCAATTCTTTTTCCTCATCTCTTCAAATGCTTCAGCTAACATAAGTAATGTTTTTTGATGTGGGAATTTGTCAACAAGGCTCAAAAGTCTTTTTAGTTCTCGAACATCCTGCGGAGATCGAGATCGGTCAAAACGTCTCCAAATTTCCATCTGCTGATACCATCCGCTCATCAAATATTTGTCAATGATATAGCATGCATCTTTGATTTTTCCGAAAGTTATTAGACTTTGAACGTAATGGTTCCAATTGTGAGAATCAAACTCGAAGCGCTCCCTAACAAGTTGTTCCCATTCTTGTTGAATAATATCGTACCGTTTTTCGGCGGTAAGGGCATCTATCATAATAGAAACTGCATGACATGGAAGTTTCGATATTATGGTTGAACTATATGGCACGTCAAATTTTGCTAATAGTGATGTCGAAAACGAAGGTTTCAACAATGATGGTGTTTTCAGAGTTTCCAACAATGTTTCCGATGGTGATGGTCTCAGTAAATCCTTTGGTATGGATCTCGATACATGTGATTCAAACCATTCTGATAAAGATAAAGTTTCTGACAATGTATCCTTGCGTAAGCTGTTCCATATTTGCCAAACAGCTTCGTGATTATGAACACGACGATAGGCATCCATAAGAATAGTATATGCATGTGCATTACGTGGAATGTTCAATTTTATCATTTCTTCAAATACTGCCCGAGCAGCATCTACATTTCCTTGCTTAGCATATGCATCCATAAGGGGTGTAAATACCTGTGCCGGGATTGTAGCCTTTTCTTGATAGAAGTCCCCTTGTATTGGTTCATCACCAAGCGCTAATGAAGGTTGTGAAACCAGCTTTGATATAAGTTTTCTGGCGAATTCCAAATCACCATGTCGAGCATGGCCGTCAATTAGAACAGCAAACGTAACATATGTAGGTTTTATGCCCCTTAATATCATGGTCTCATAAAGGTTCTTAGCACTTAAAAAGTCACCTTTTTGTAAGTGACCATGTATAAGTACCGTATAAATATGAGCATCAGGATCTAAACTATAGTTAAGTTCCATATGATTAAAAAGACTAATGGCAGTTTCTAAATCGCCTTCTGCACGAAATCCA